CAACCGCAACGGCGCCTCGTGTCACTCCCGCCGTGCCGGAGCGCTCTAGGGCCTCGAGCATGTCCTTAGCGTGGCTGCTTACCACCGGCCCTGGTAGTCGACTCCGTAGGCACGGCGAACGTCGGTATGGCTCTTACGGCGAGACGGGGGTGTTCGCACGCAACACGGAGGATTACTCTATTTCCAGAGTAGATGGAGAAAGGCATCCGCCTCGAATGATATCTCACCACACCATCTGAGCAGCGTCGATCTACCGGGGAAGCTTCCCTCTGGCCAACTAGCCATGCCTGGAACCATGCGCTCTAAAATCACTATCCAGCATACCTGGTACCGCCAATAGCGACCGCTCCTGCGCGGTCCGAGAAACCTGGGTTAATGAGTCCTTATTAATCTTGTTATATCTCCATCGACAGTGCACTCTGTATACTCTGTAATATCAATTGACTTTCTGGCGACCCACGCGCCACGAGCGTCTTCCTCGTGGTCCTGTGGGTGATGGCGCCGACGGGATCGGGGTTTTGCCCAGCTTCTTCGTCGCCATTTTTAGACACGGACGAACGGTCCTCGACTTCACGCTGCAGTCCTGTCGCATCCATTCCAATCCGTGGACGACGAGTGCCTGCTGCATACAGGATCTTTCCGAGAATGCTCTCAGGGGAGCCGCGTATATGAAGGACTTCCAATTTAACGACGCGCAAAGGCTGTCTCCAGCCACCTGGGAAGGGCAAAAGAACGCGCTGATCAACCCATGGCATGCAGGCGCCGATTCCGCGCCGACGCTCCTGGTTGGCCACCGTTGCGGGCCAAGAAGAAAGGGGGTTTCAGATCACAGTGTTTCAGAATTTTGACAGCTGGTGGAGAAAGCTGCCGTTAGTCGAACTGTTGGGTAGTTGCGGCTACACTGTCCCGCGGTACCGAGCACGGCTGCGGGTTCTGCTCAGGGGCGTGTCCCTGCTTTCCACGGTTCAGCTGGGGTTGGAACCGCATCCTTATCCTGGAGAAAGGAGAGAAGCAACCTGGAATTGCTGAACTCCACACCGTCCTCGAGAGCATCTGAGGGGAAAGGGGTAGCCTGATAATCCAGGAGGGTTGACATGACTCGCAAAACATGAGCAGTCAGATAAGTAAATCGTACCAGTCGAGTTCTGCGGCTACAACTTACGGCTAAGGTGGATGGCGGTGCACCCCAAATCCCGATCTCGGCCCAGACGATCCTGCGTCGATGATGGACTTCTGTTCCTCTCATTTCTCTTTTACCGTTCGACTCGCCTTCCTGTGTCTGTTCGATTGAATTGATTAAAGATTCTGGGACGCAAAATATCGTTCAGGACTAGGGTTCTGCTTGTGCTGGTGGTTCCAACAAGATCCGGATCTCAGAGATCAGAGGCGAAACAGCTGTACAATTCAGGTTGGTGAAAAGCTCGGGAAGGACGGAGGACGGACTCGGTAGAGGGAGCTATAATAGCTAAACGATAATCAGTGTTTTGTGTGTTTGTCCTGTTTCACGAATGAATCATAATAGCGATCAACAAGGCCGGCGGCTTTGCTTGCGAGTCACTAGCTCAATGAGGCTACAGGCCCAAGCATCCCCGTCGACAGCTCCACGGTTGTCTCCTGCGAACCGTTCGACTTCAAGTCTTCCACTGGTTGGACTGTTAACTTAAAAAGTCCACCTGCTGGGGATGTGGAGCGAAGGAGGAAAGAAAATAGTAACGACAACCGATGAATGCAGCCCAGTCTGCGACTGCAATATATCCGAATAGGATGACGAGATTTTCGCTTATTTTCCTTTTCAAAAGCATGAGTGATGTAACATCATGATACCTCAGTTGTTTTCTTTTCAGGAAGGCCAGGAATTAGAATCCATGACCAGGGTGGCTCTCCAGCCTACTCCGTACTCGCAGAGCTTGGGCCAATCCTTTCCGGCCAGCAACCTCGGAAATTTTGAAACGAACTGTTCAGCTCGCCAAGTTCCGCGGTTGGTCGGTTGAAGATTAGACGCCGTTGTGCCAGCCCTTTGGTGCTCGTCCTTGCCGCTACTTGTCAGTCTTTGCGTACTCCGTACAGAGTAGCAGTAGCACAAACAATGCATTCCTGCAGTAGATTCTGACCAATATCGATATCATCGCAGGAACAGCCACCTTGTTTTACCGCCTTGTACAGCTACCTCGTTGCTCACATGGTTGGTTGGGGAGAATAAAAAAAACTGTGATTACGGACGGAAGAGACAAATGAGAAATAACAGCGATTCGTAATCTTTAGAAAGCAAATAATATCTGCCGAATCAGAAGAAAAACAAGCGAGAGAGATCCAGAGGAAGTCACGTTTTTGTTTTAATTGGTTCCTGGGGCACAGAATCAAGCGCCTGATCCATGACGTAGTGTTATATTTTTTTTCCCCCAGTATCAGCCTCAGCTTCTGCCTGTGGGGTAGTATGGAGTATGCGTCAATGCTCCATGAACATATCCAGGATCTTGTCTACTGAGAATTAAGAACCACTAGGTTGTGTCCACAATGTGTCATATTTGGACAGCTTAAAATCTTATAAATAGCAAATCAACATACAATGCGACCTGTGATTGACAACATTTCATCAGCTTACTGCAGAACATCGGTCCCAGGTTTTGCAAGATTATGAAGCGTAATCAGGTATTCGTCCCTTGCACGTGGGGTGGACCTCATCTCCAAACACATTCCTTTGCGGCCATCGTGCAGCTTTCATAGGCTAGAAGAAGTCCGTGGTAGTGCATCGTATATTTGCCCCTCAATGACCCAAGTCTCGACCTCGTCGTCATGTCTGTGCGCAGGTGCAGCCAATCAAACAGCCAGCTCAAAGCCTCAAAGACGCGTCAGGAAACCTTTTACTCAAATGTCGAGAGAAAGACGCTGTCAAAGTCGGAAGACGTTTATACTGGCGGATCACCGATCTAACTAATGAGAGGAATAGGAGTGGAGAACAGGACGGTGGACTCTTTATCAGCCAAACCTTCTCATATCTGATGATTCCACTCATATTATTGTCATGGATGGTTGCAGACCTCACAGCCAGATCAAATTCCCCAACGTTGACACATACCTGGATGGTCAAGGTGCTTACCGTTGCAGGTCATGCAACAGACCAAACTAGATATATATAGTCTATATATACTTCTTGATAAGATAACACACTTCCATGCAGGCATACAACTCAAGATAAACGATATTGGGACTCTCCGTAGTGTGACGGCCCTTGCTGATGAAGGCTCAGAGATCTGACGGGAGATGCCATACAGAAACATCACGGCTCCAGAAGGAAGGGCACGAAAGGAATCTTCCATGTGCTGAAGCGACCAGGCACGAATGAGCGATATGAGTCTCAACCACCCAATCGCAACCTGCCCTCCTGGGCCCATATTATCCACTGTTTGCTTGTCCTGTTAACAAACCCGGGCTGCGATGGTGCAGTGGTTAAGTAGCCTAAGTCTCTTACACCTACTAACATCCAGATGAACGGCTTGGGTTCGAATCCCTCTGGTCTCTGACCCAAATTTCCACCA